CAAGATAGCACCAATGGGTTTTTGTATACCACAGTTCGGACTACTAGGATGAACTGGTATTGAAACATCTGATAGCATGCAGAAAACTATTATTTAGGGGGATTTCAGTTGGAAGGGACGTAATAAAAGTTCCACGTAGTCACCACTAACTGCCCTGGAGCTGAAAAAGCAGGTTCAGGGTAGGGCAAGGGGTGGTTCATGTGTGTTGTGTGCTGGAAAATGGCTACAAGCCACCATGGGTACTGTTTAACCGACTTCATTCGACAGGATGAATTGATCACTAAGCTAAAAACACCAGTGGTCACTAAGATATGAATGGCTACAATCTAACTACACTACTCATACGCAGATAAAATGGAGTGGATATGGCACACCAAGAAGTCTACCAAACACACATTTTTGTGATTGCAGTCAAGCACTCCATTTAGGATGGGCCAGAAGTAAGCTTTCCTGACTTCTTAATTATTTCCCTTTTTTGCATGCAAAATTATAGTCTTTAATGACAGAGTGATCTTTTCCAGAAGAATCCAGCTGCCCAGGATAAACAGCACGCAGTTTGTTTTACATCTTTATTGTTCATTACACGACACTAGCGATTATTTATTGTTCGCTATTCAAATTCTGCTCAGCCAACAGAATTCTGTACTACTTTATTTACTTTTCCCCTAAGTTCACATCCAGCTATTCAAAGGTACTCCTTAATTTCTGAAAAAACTTAATATTTATACGGAAATTTTATTCTCAGTTTGTAAATATACTACAGAAGCAGAGAAATTCGAATCCACTGATTCTGGATATTTGACATCACAGATTCCAGATTTATGTCAGGAGATATTTCAAATTTGAGTTTTCAGAGTTGTCAATATTTTCTGTTTATTGGCTTATTTGTTCAACATTATCACAGAAAGAAAATCCACAAACTAGTTCTGTGGGGTATATACTGGACCGATATTAAATAAAAAAAAAATATCCAAAGGCAATTGGTCTCATTATTTATATGAATCCTTATGGAAGCAAGAACCACAACCAGTTAAGAGTCTGATGGATTGTATTTAGATTAGTAGAAGGAAACTTTTCCAGAGTTGGATTGATGCCCCTGGAGAACAAGCCATTGTATCTGTAGGTGATTCTGGAGAATTGCTAATGTCTCCACCGAAGCAGTTGTGGACAGCAAACAAGTCAGAACTAAACAGATGAACTGAGGCTCCAGGAAAGCAATCCTGCATTCTCACGTACCTTGCTTTTGACTGCAGAGTAGACATTTGTTTGTCTATTTCTGTTGATTAAACTCAGAGAAGAATATCTGGGTCTTTTACTGCAGAAATTCAGTAAGGCCTTTTCTAAGAAGACCCAGTGGTGTTACATTTGACACGCCATGCTCTCACTCTTGCTTGGTACCCAGATCAGCCTTCAACCCTAACCAATGTCATATCGTATCACCTGGTTAAATGAGTTGAAACTCTTAAATTCTTCTCAAAAAGACACAGCAGATGACCATCCACTTTCTTCAAGTTTTCTCAATATGCAGTACCACAGACTTTTGTTCCTATCTACAAGAAGCATGATTTACGCACATTTAAATGGTATTTGTTTACAATTGAGCTTTAATTTTCCTTTTTAACCTATTCCAGCACAGAAGTCTCTTAGGTTTTCTCTAATGCCTGACAGAAATAGGAATATGACTGAAAGCAAGGTGCCTTTTAGGCTCCAGTCAGATTTGTCAGAAATGATCTGCCAAAGTGAAACATTTTGAAGGACAGGTATGTATCTGTTCTTGTAGCCTCCTGTGTCACAGCAACTACAATCTTAGGTTTGTTGCTGCCCTCCTTGGTCCTTGATATGGACACAACAGTTGCCAGGATCTTCTTTCAGCTCTCACTAGCCAAAAGATTTTGGTCATCTACTTCAACTACATGTTTGACAATGAGAATAGTCCTTTAATTGCACCCATGGAAAAATAGCTTCATTCAGAAAGATGCCAGCTTCAAACACCACTTGGATACTTGAGCTAGACTGACAGACTGCTCTTTATTTGCCAGTCAGGTAGGGAAACAAAATGCTGTTACATGTGCTTTGTATCCTCTGCTGCATACTAAATCATTCCTGGGTGGTATTCATGATCTATAAAGCAGTAAGTAGTTTGGTCACAGCTATCTCTGGCACCATCTGTTTGACCACTTGCAAAACTAACAGGCTGCACAGAAGCTGAAAAAAGGGACATGACTAGCGTGAGTTTGGGAAAAACTATATCTAGCTTCAAAATTAAACCAGCTATTCAAAATTTCGTCACAGGGTGCCAGGCATACTGCAGTTACCCTCTGAACCCCCACAGTCTGGTTTTCCCTCTCCTCTGGCAGACATGGCTGTCTACTTTTTCTATAGCCAAAATGTTTGCAGATCATCTCATTAACACAAATGTTTCCAGCAAAGAACAGAAAATGAAGCTCCTGAGTCTACCCAGGTGATTTTCTACCCTGGCAAATGAGGAACAGCATTTTTGGCTAAGGAATCCTACTTCTGATATATGATTACCTATTTACCTGTTTTATTTTTCTGCATTGAATTATTTGTGATAACTGTGCATTTTCATTCAAATTGTTAATAAAAGTATAAACCAGTGTAGATGAAGAAATGACTTTTGAGGTACAGAACACTAAAACTGATGATTCCCAATTATTGTGTTTAGATAATAAGCTACTAATATATTTAATATGTGCTATACTCATAATTACAATTAATCTCATAAAAGCATTTAGAAGACATCTTTGGTGTGGTCTTTTTTTCCTAGAAATCATGATGGTTTGTATTATATTTGAAAAAAAAAGTTTAATGAATGAGTTGTATATCTATCTCAAGCTTGATAGCACCTAACAGCTATAACAACAAAGGAAAAGCCCACTTACCATTTTAAGTACGGGACTTAATTAAATTCTTTCCATTATTAGGAACTTCCCAATAGTCTAAAATTTATTAAAAGCTAATGTGAATGTTTCAGAAAGCTTCCTAACCAATAAAGAATTCTTTTGAACAAATTAATAATTTCTACAATTATGCTACAAGTATTGAATATAAAAGCCTTGTATAAAAACAACACCAATAAATGAAGAACAGAAAAAAATTAATAGTTAGAATATAATTTGCAGTTAAAAAAAGATAGATTACTTTCACCTATGTTGTTATACTGTTCCTTATTTCAGTTTCTCATACATTTTTGTACATTCTTTTCATTTCCAAAATTAGTAAGAACAAAACTTAAGACCAAGCTTCAGATGTGTTGACAGACTATTGCTTGCATGAGAGACAATCCAGCCCTTCTCCTGCATTTCTCCCCAGGATGCCTGGGTTATAACAAAACTTTGTCCTGTAGGTTAACTGGAAACCTTTCGTTGATGGTGCGTGCTTGAATCAGTTCTGAAACAGTCATTATGCAATTGCAAGGAATTATAAAATGCGTGGCTGTCTCCTATGTTCTTATTGACCAAACAGTACTTCAACTGATGGTAAAACTATTGGTGTTAAATAGCATTTGTTGTGAAACTGAAAAACTTTATAAAGAAACTCAAATTTGAATGGTTGGAAATAAAAATCTTTAAAAAATAGCTCCTCCAGATTAGTTCAGAAGATGCATGTCGCTTCTCCCCACGATCCCAGATCACATCCTTAATGCGCAGAGGGAACGTGCCAAACTTCCTTCTCACTCAGATGCTCTAGTAGGGTACATACAGCTGCCTTAGGTATAATGCGTAAGGGCTCCTTCAGACTTCTGAGGAATAAACACTTCTTGTAAAACCCCCTTACAATATTTTCTCATCATTCTTTCATGTGGCTGTAAACACTGCTACTATGAAAAAAAAAAGCGGGGGCAGGAGGGAGAAGAGGAAGCATTCAATATTTATCATTAGCGTTGTGCAAGAATTTCTGAATTATATTATCATGAGATGACATCCACAAAGTTTTAGTGGGTAGAAATGCTTCAGGGAACATGAGTTAATACCATCAGTTATAGCTGTGAATGCAAGAGCAATCCCGAAGATTGCTTCCGTATATTAGAATAACAGACCCCCATCGAGTGCATTGTTCGTTAATAAGAATGCCCATACAGCAGACAATTTCTGTTTAAAGGATGAGCCTTTGTAACTTGGTCAGCAGGATTATGTTTAAAGTGATCTGAAGACAAAGGGAGGGCAAGTTTCTTTCTCATGCATTGTCTGAAAAGGATTTGCCAGCTTTCTCACTACTACTCTCACGAGACCATCCAAATGCAATCACCTCCAGTTATATCTCAGTCTCAGCCTAGGAACAAAAACATGAATTGCAACTGTAGAAACAACTATGACATGCCTTCTATGAATCACCATTTCTGCAGAAAACTCTCCCAAGGAAGCACCTCTTGATGGTCCAAATGGCCCTTGACAAATCCCCACAGCTGCATTCGTGGTCTCTGCTGCTGAGACCATTCCCTGCAGGAGCAGCTCAGGCTGAGAGAAGGCAAGTTGCGCCGTGGAGTGTGTTTCCTCCAAGGGATGGGGTCAGCAGTTTGTGTTCTCCGCACGCTGAGGGACTGACTCCTGAAGCAACTTTTAGCAAGCAGTTGCAGAATGTCAGAAGTGAGTCTTCAGAGAGCACAAACACTAACTTGCAAGAGCTTAACAGCAAAAAACATCTCTAAGTTCCGCTTCAGAGGTTTTCAGAAACAACTGTATTAAGTGGATGCTTAGCTGACCAGTACAGTTTTATAGATCAGTAGTTTCTGTAAGTATGTGGATTTTCGTCTAGAAAAATTCTTGGAAATATCTGGGAATATCTCAGAGCACCCAGGGTTCAAAACACAGTATTTTAAACAGGTAACAAAACTTTCTAAGTACCTTGCTGCATCTTCCAAGCAGTTTCTTTTCAAAATAATGGTACATATTTAAAACATCCTGAAACAAATGCAACTGATACACAAGTTTGAAAATGCATACATAATTATAATGAAAATTAAATTGTTTGCAACCTACCTTGGAATTGCGTAAATTTGATGGTTCCCATCCTCTCTCCGTTTCTGAAAACAACTTGACCCTAAATAAAATAAAATAATACCTTAAAAGTTTTATAAATCTCTCATAATATAGATTCATTAGCACTGCAATTATTTTCCATTCACTATTAAAATTACCTAAGCAAGGTTTAAACTTTGAAGACAGCAGATTCAACCAAAGTTAAAACAACTCAGTAACACCTCCTTAAAGCCTTCTTCCACAGATTTCAAATGGCATTAGAAAGCTGACCAATGTTATCACTCACTTTCCATGGATGGAAATGGAGGTACGATAAAGCCAGTAACTCACTGAATCTCGGATGATGAGAGATATGCAAACAATTGATTTTCACTGTGTTACCGTTTTTATCAAGGATATGTAAGAGTTATCAAAGATCACACAAAAAAATGGTTCTCCATTTCATTCACCATATGGTTCTCCTAATGGCTCTATAATCTACTTATAACAATGATATAGATATCTGTAGCTTTTTTTGGGTTGGTTTTGTACTACATCAACATGTGTGTCCTAGTATTCTTTTTAAATGTAATGCCTTTAAGTCAGTACTACCTTTTGTTGTGCTACACGTTGTTACTCTTCAAAATAATGTCACGTAATGCTGAAACCTCCTCACGTATCCCTAGCAAATTACTCCCTTCTTTCATCTCATCTTTCTGATTTAAATTAAGAAAAGTTCTTCTTAAATTTCTTCCTTACTTCAGCTATTTCATGATTGAGTATGAAAGAAGAGGTTTTCATTCATTTATGCTAAGAAGTATTTTTAATATTTTGAACCTGCAGTGGCGTGCTGAGTGCTGTCAATATAGATTGCTGGTTTACTGCATCCCCAGTTTGGTTTATCTCCATTAATCTTTGTTTTAGCAGACATCAGGGTAAGAGAGAAACCAAACAGTAAGCATGTAAGGCTACAATATATTTCTCCGTGCATGCCAGCCCCTTTTTGGATAACCCTTTCCGGTCACTAAGGAGATGCACTGAAGGCAACCATCTGAATTACTGAAAACAGCTCCCTGCAAGGAACCATTCAATGGATGTGTAGTACCGAACACTCAGCCCACATTTCCTACAAGCCTCCAAACACCATTTCCCTTTGATAAATAGAAGACGACACCCTTCAACAAGTGTAAGCTACCTTGTGCTAAGCCTTAAAAGCCAAAAGCTCCAATCTGTGACAAAAAGAGAGCAAGAGAAATGAACACTGGTAATGGGAGAGATTCTCACGACAGCTGCAGAAGGGCACAGGAGGTGCTCCTACTGAAATCCAGTTGAGCTAAGTCTCATCCAGCGGCTGCTAACACAGCTCCAGGAGAGAACGTAGAACATCATTAGCAGGCAGATTTATGTGTGCACCTTAGCAGCCTTCATCCAGATCTCCTTTAGTTTGGAAAAGTAGTTTTCAATCTCCGTTCATTTGTTTGAACATAATCATAGTGCATTTGGCTACTTGGTTTAAGTGGCTACTTGGTTTCAGTAAAAAAATAGTAGAAAATATTAAAAAAAAGAGCTGTAAAAATGCTATGGAAGTATCACTTATTGCAGATATATATCTCTATGATCAATCCAGTCTTAACCTTGCTAAATTCTTGGTTCTGTGTCCTGTGTCAGAGATTTCTATAGTTAAATTTTTCACTGTGTGAAAAAAATACTTTTTCATTTGATTTTAAATTTACTGCCTTTTACCTTAACTCTATCTCCTCTTATTCTTTTATTACAAGTTAATGGGACTGTAAGTTGTAGTCTACTAGAGTGCTATTTATAGATAAACTTACAGCAAGAATCACTGCTATCATCTATGATGACAGTCATCTATAATTGTCATCTATTATTGATAGTATAATATATGAGCTCATGAAATTTTCTAGATTCCAAGTGCAACTGGTTTGCAATATTATTATTGCTTCTTGTAAAATCACCTGCATTTTTATCATTCAGTAGGACAGACATATACCATATGCATCTGCTGACTAGAGATAAATACATACATCCTCATTGACATGTTCTGAAACTATCAACAAAATATAAATCAGGTCTGAATGTTCTGAATAAAGCTAAACATTTGGATTTAAAAAAATACATAAACAGAGTTATAGACTTAGAAGTCTTTGTTTTTATCAGCTTCCCTTTGCTAAGGTTTGTGGCTTATACTGATCTAAGCAATAGATAAATAAGGGTACGGATGATGGTGATGAAGGAGTTATGGAACAACTCATGTGAAAGTGTACTTGTTATCTGCAAAAATATTCAGTCACAGTGGTTTACTTTCATAGAATCACAGAATAGTTTCGGTTGGAAGGGACCTTTAAGGGTCACCTAGTCCAGCCCCCACTGCAATGACCAGGGACATCTTCAACTAGATCAGGTTCCTCAGAGCCCCATCCAACCTGACCTTGAATGTTTCCAGAGATGGGGCATCTACCACCTCTCTGGGCAACCTGTGCCAGTGTTTCACCACCCTCATTGTAAAAAATTTCTAATCTACCCTCTTTTAGTTTAAAACCATTCCCCTTTGTCCTGTCGCAGCAGGCCCTGCTAAAAAGACTATCCCCATCTTTCTTGTAGGTACCCTTTAAGTATTGAAAGGCTGCAATAAGGTCTCCCTGGAGCCTTCTCTTCTCTAGGCTGAACAACCCCAACTCTCTCAGCCTTTCTTCATAGGAGAGGTGTTCCAGCCCTCTGATCATTTTTGTGGCTCTCCTCTGGACCGGCTCCAACAGGTCCAAGGCTTTCCTGTGCTGAGGGCTCCAGAGCTGAACACAGGACTCCAGGTGGGGTCTCACCAGAGCAGAGTAGAGGGGCAGAATCACCTCCCTTGACCTGCTGGCCATGCTTCTTTTGATGCAGCCCAGGATGTGGTTGGCTTTCTGGGCTGCAAGCACACATTGCTGGCTCATGTCCAGCTTTTCATCCACCAGTTCCCCCAAGTCCTTCTCCACAGGGTTGCTCTCAATCCTTTCATCCCTCAGCCTGTATTGATACTGGGGGTTGCCCCGACCAGGTGCAGGACCTTGCACTTGGCCTTGTTGGACCTCGTGAGGTTCATATGGACCCACTTCTTGAGCTTGTCCAGGTCCTTCTGGTGGCATCCTGTCCCTCAGGAGTGTCAACCATACCACTCAGCTTGGTGTCATTTGCAAACTTGCTGAGGGTGCACTCAGTACTAGTCCCAATATGGACCCCTGAGGGACACCACTTGTCACCAAACTCCATCTGGACATTGAGCCATTGACCACTACCCTCTGGATGCGACCATCCAACTAATTCCTCATCCACAAAACAGTCCATCCATCAAATCCATATCTTTCCAATTTAGGGAGAAGGATGTTGTGAGGGACCGTGCCAAAGGCCTTACAGAAGTCCACGTAGATGACATCCGTAGCTCTTCCCTTGTCCTTTGATGTAGTGTCGTCATCACATCAGGCCACTAGGTTTGTCAGGCAAGACTTGCCCTTGGTGAAGCCATGCTGGCTGTCTCAAATCACCTCCCTGTCCTCCAAGTGCCTTAGCACAGCTTCTAGAAGTATCTGTTCCATGATCTTCCCAGGCACAGAGGTGAGGCTGACAGGTCGGTAGTTCCCAGGGTCCTCCCTTCTACCTTTTTTAAAAATACGTGCCATGTTTCCCTTTCATTAAAGCTTACTGGAAAATGCTAAAAAAGTCAAATGGGTTATTAAAAGGAATAACAATTTCTAAATACTATTTTATCAGTTCTGACATTGTTTTGGGTATTGGTCACAATACACAATTGGTTACACATACAGATACTAACAGGAAAAAAATAATTTTGAGAAATCAAAATTTGGTATTTATTCCATGTGTAATCCAATGAATAAATCTATTTTCAAAAGTAAAATCAATAAAAAAACATATCAGTAAGATATGTTTAAGCCCCAAAGCAGAAATCTAGTGCAATCCATAACGATGACAGTATATATTTATTACCCAGGCATCAAAACTGCAACCACAGCTGCAGTTACTGCTTGATTCTTTGCTCCTGAGGAACATGCAGCTTCATAATAACATATGGCAAGTAGCCACAGCATCTCAAGTACCTTAAACCCCTCAAGACTCTAAAATTCCTGTGTGCTGGGTGAGAAAACACTCCTAGATTTTTACTGGGGCTTTAGCTAGCCCCAGCAGACACGGACATAGTGTTCCTGCTACACTATTTCATTCTGCCAACGTGGCAGAAAGGAGCGCTCCTCATCAACACTGAGAAATTGTATAAATGGAAATACCTTCATTTCTCTTTTACAAATATTAACTTAAAACAGGAATAGGAAGGAAACTAATGAGAGTCACTTATTGCTCTATGCTTTCACCAATATTTTATGAAAAATAAGATGATTACATTTGAGGTAAAAAAGTGAAATAAATATATAATAAAATATTGTAGTATTTTATTTTATAAATTTATGGTAATGCTATTAAGAAATAAGCCAAACAGTGTTTCAGAAACCTGTTTTGTAGAAATGATGTGCTGATTTATGGCATGAGAAGTGAGTTATAATCTGACAATGTTCTATGGCTCACGTCAAGTCATTTCTTTGCCACCAAGGTAACATACCATAAGATTTAGCTAGAGACTTATCTTCTTTAGACTTGAGATTCATAAATTACTAACAGTGTTTTTCCTTTATTTAAAGTAGCGGATGTTTGAATAATAGATATTCCTAATACACACATCAAGCACTGACATTACAAAAGCAAATCTTAGTACTACTTTGTCCTTTATTTTTACCTCACCACATACTGCAGCACATGTGCCAGTACAGACTGCAGCTTACAGTGTGACCCACCATAAAATCTAGATGGTATGAAATCCATGTGAATATAACAACAAACAAAATCCTCTTTTACCTTCCATAGTGTTTTGTTGACATTGCATAGGCATATTTAGATACTTATTAGCAAAAGGATCAGTGATTGTACAGATAAGAAGTACTGTTTTAAAGAAAAATAATAGAAGTAATGTCAATACTATCAATACTTCAGAATGTGATTCTCAGAGTCAAGCAATAT